CCCTGAGTAATTAGACCCTGACATTTCCATGCCTTTCCAGCCACAGTGGCTTTTCAAACACACACACACACACACACACATACACACACACACAACTAAATTCCTAATATAGATATGTATAGATGTATGTCTATGTTGCTATATATATAGTCTAAACATATGTATGCATGCACATACAGTCTAGCTGTGTTCTTGGTAAGAAGCAATTTTGTGTGTGTATGTATGTATATATATATATATACAACGGAGTTTTATACGATGAAATATTCACATAATGAAATATTACTGAACGCTAAAGCAATATGAGTTATCAAGCTACAAAAAGATGCAGAAGAATCTTAAGTGCATATTACCAAGTAAAAGAAGCCAATGAGAACAGGCTGCATACTATATGATTCCAACTGTATGACATTCTGGAAAAGGCAAAACTGTGGAGACAGTGAAAATATCAGTAGTTGGCCAAAGGCTTGGGGAGAGGGAAGGAGGGATGAATAGATGGGACACAAAGAATTTTTAGGGCAGTGTAACTATTCTGTGTGATAGTATAGTGATGGCTATATGCCATTATACATCTGTTAAAACCTATGATATGTACAACACATAAAATGATCCCTAATAGAAACTATGAATTTGTTTGAACATAACGTGTTTTCCTAAGCTACATGGCATAGTCCAGAGTGTACCGACTGCAGTGCTTGAAGACACTCGGCTGACCAAAGATTCAGATCTCTCAGTCAGTCTGAAAATACTCCAGGAACACACACAGGTGCCCAAGATCCTTAGGACCTAGAGGGCAAAGGAAAATGCATCACAGCATGACAAGAGCTTATTGAGAGTGGTCTCTCTTGCTCTCTCTCCTTCTCATGTGTTCTCTACCATAAATAAATAAAAGTGTTATGGTAGATCACTGAAACACTGAGACAGAAGCCATTTTAAAACTGAGGTGTGTTGGGAACCCGCAGTTGGCATAATGGCTATGTCGCTGGACTCCCACGTCTGCAACCGCGGTTCGCATCCCGGACCCGGTGGCTTGGAGCTCACGCCGGGCGCGTGTGCGTGCGTGCCCAAGATCCCGAGAGGAGAATGGAGGAGAAGTGATTGCGGCGTGACCATCCCCCCTGGGGGGTGATTTCTCGTCTCTCTCTGTCTGTCTGGTGAGTGCATGCACCCTATAGCGAAAACCTCTCCAAAAAAAAAACTGAGGTGTGTCCTGGTGTGTTCAGGGACCAAGGCAACTGAAGCTATGCTCTAAACCCTATCTTTTAGACCCCTGAATCACTGAGACAGAAGCCATTTTAAATCTGAGGTGTGTCCTGGCGCATTCAGGTACCAAGGTGACTGAAGCTATGCTCTAAAGCCCATCTTCTAGAACCCCAAAACACTGAGACCTTTTTTTTGTTTGTCTCCTTTTCCTTTAGCTTTTATTTACTTTTTAACCTTAATTTCCCACTCTGCTCTTCAATCTCCACACACTGAATGTCTAGACAGGCCTAGGTGCACAGTAGCCAAGCATCTGAATACTTTTAAGGTCATTGAAATCCTCAATGCCTATTGAACCTCCTGCTTTAAGGAAGAAACTTCTTTTTATAAATCTGAACTCATGATCTCTTTCTGTGGATACCATGTTGCAAAATACAGTAGAGGAGAGATTTTGTCACAGAATGACCAGAAGCCACCACAGAGGCACAAGAAATATGAGAAACCAAGAAAATCTCACTCCCCTAAGTGAAAAGAACAATCCTTCATCGTTCAGACAGTACAGTGGAACTCACGGAAATGTCTGATACAGATTTCAGAATCTTCCTAG